TAGCTCGTAGCTCCACTACCCTTCCCTGTTCGGCGGCTCCTTTGGGCTCCCTTACCGGCCTGCACATCCCCTCGTTCTCTAGGAACCTAGTTGGTGTCGGCTGCCTTCAGGACCTTGGCGTCACCACTACGTTCCCTGGTCACGAGCGGTACGCTGTCTGTACCGAGGCCGCCACTGGTGCTCCCCTCACCACGTTCCCCCGGGACCTGGTGTCCGGCCTGTTCATGCTGGACACCGCCCCCCCCCACCCCCGGTTGGGACGTCTCCCGACATGACTGTGTCTCCTCAGGTAGCTGCAGCTTGCTCGTGTCAGTCGCATACTCACCCGACACTCCAGTGGCACCACCGTCTAAGTCACCCTTCCCTCCCTCGTCTTCGTCATATGTCGCAACACGGTCTTGTTTTAGGTCTCCCTTGGTCGTTCCCCGCACTCCTCTCCTCACCAGCACCGCCGTGCACCCCTTGCGTCGAGGGCCGGATACGCCATGCCTCTCACTCCTCCTCGCTCCCCCCCACCACCGCACCCTTGCAGACTTTGCACATGGACGTTTGGGGCCCTGCCACTGTCCATGGGCCACTTCGTGAGCGTTACTTCCTCGTCCTTGTTGACGACTACTCTCGTTACACCACCATGTTTCCCTTGGAGCAGAAGGCTGACGTGCCTGACGTTCTTATCAAGTGGCTCGTCTCTGCGTGTGTGCATCGCGGCCTCCCTGTGTTGCGTCTCCACTCTGACCGAGGTGGCGAGTTCGCCTCTGGTTGCCTTGGGCGTTTCTGTCGTGCGGAGAGCATCACTCAGACGTTCACCTTGCCGGACTCCCCGCAGCAGAATGGGGTCGCTGAGCGACGCATCGGTTTGGTCATGGAGGTGGCTCTTACCTCCATGATCACGCCGGTGCACCCCATTTTCTGTGGCCGTTCGCTGTCCGCTACGCTGCTCACCAGCTTAACCTGTGGCCGCACCCTTAGCGGCCGCAGGTTTCGCCGAACCTTCTTTGGTCCGAGTCTCCTGGTGACGCATCGGCGTTCCACTTCTGGGGTTGCCTTGCTCACGTTCATGCCTCTGGCACGGACAAGCTCACTGCTCGCACAACTCCCCTGTGTCTTCCTCGGTTTCCCCATTGACTCGTTCAACTAGCACTTCTACCACCCCCCGTCTCACAGCTTCTTTCACTCCCGCGACGTCACCTTTGACGAGTCCGTCTCCTACTACCACCGCTCTCCCCACCGTGGTCCCCCGGTTACTGCCCCCCTGTTCCTGGTTCCCCCTCCCCCGGTCGCCCCTGCCCCTCCTCCTCCCCGCCCTGCCCTGTCTAGTGTGTCGCACGTTACCCCCCTCCCGTTGGTAGTCTTCTGACTCTCGTGGCCCTACGTCGCAGCCGCAGCCGTCGTCACCGCCGCTGCAGCTGCAGTTCATGCCTTCTCGGGGTGCTGGCGTTGAGGCGGGTGCTAGTCCTGGGGCTCCTGTCGTGGCTTGTCCCGGTGGGCCTTGGGGTGGTGCCGGTGCAGAGCGAGCTTCTGGTCTTGGGGGTGTTCCGTCTGGAGGTGCTGGAGTGGAGTGTTGCAGAGGTAGTCATGGAGCAGCTGGCGGTCCAGGTGTTGGTGTCGTGCAGCCGCTGCAGCAGCAGTCGCCGCCGGTGTCCGCCCTCCGCCTGCTCGGCCTTCCCTCCCCTAACCGCGCGTCTACACCTCTCCTCCCATCTCCTCCTCTTCCTGTCCACGGCCCTGTGTTCCCTCCTCCGGACTCGTCACCTGCTCGCCTTCCCCCTCCTTTCCCTCCTGTTACTCCTCCTCTGTCTCCTGACCCGACGCCTCCATCCCACGTCTGGTCTCGCCGTCCCTCTCGTGCTCGTCCTGTCTCTCCTGTTCAGCGTTCTCACCCTATGTTGCTTCGTTCCCATGTGCTCGTCCTCGCGTTCTGCTGTCGCCTCCTTCGTCCTCCCTTGTTGTCGCGCCTCCCCCTCTGTCTGACTACCTTTGTGCTGCTCGCCCTCTTGTTCCTCGGGTTCTTGCCTCCCTCGTTACCGACCCGTCTGTTCCTGTTTCACGTCTTGACGCCCTTGTCGCTGCTGTCGCTGACTTTGCCTCTACCCACCGCCTTGAATACGCCACCACTCTGGTCTCTGCCCCTGCCTGTCCTCCGTTTGTCTGGGGTGCTCTTGCCCTTGGCAGTGACGTCTTCGAGGACCGGCAGTACAAGCTTGCTTTTCTGTCAGAGGCTGCTCCCCATCTCTGCTCCTTGCTGCTAGTCCCTGAGGGTGACCCAGCCGCTTTCGACATCTCGACCCCCTGCACCTACGCTGAGGCTACCTCGGGACCCTGGGTCTCTCAGTGGATAGCTTCCATGGAGCAGGAGATGGCATCTTGGAGATCCACCGGCACCTACACCGACGCAGTTCCCCCACTTGGGGTGAACGTAGTCGATGGCCGCTGGCTCTTCGAGGTGAAGCGCCCCGCTGGAGAGCCTCCTGTGTTCAAGGTGCGCCATGTGGCTAGAGGCTTCAGTCAGCGTGAGGGGGTGGACTTCTTTCAGACCTTCGCGCCGACCCCGAAGATGACTACTCTTCGAGCACTCCTACACAGAGCAGCACAGCGCGACTACGAGTTACACTCCCTCGACTTCTTCACAGTTTTTCTTCAGGGCAGTCTACACGAGCAGGTCTACTTGCGCCGTCCTCAAGGATTCACTGGTACCTTCCCTCCTGGGACCCAGTGGCTCCTGCGGCGCTTAGTCTACGGCCTGCGACAGGGGCCCCGTGTGTGGCACGACACGCTGCGTGCTACCCTAGCTGACCTGCAGTTCTTCCCGTCCCTCTGCCGACCCCCTCGCTCTTCGTTTGTGCTGGCCAGACCCCGTTCTACATCCTTGTTTACGTAGACGACCTGGTCTTCGCTACTGCAGATATGGACACACTGGCTTTCGTGAAGGCTGAGCTGCTGAGGAGACACACCTGCACTGACCTAGGAGAAATACGCCACTACCTTGGCCTGCAGATCTCCAAAGATAGAGCATCGTGCACCATTACTCTCTCACAGTCACACTTGGTGCGCCAGGTCCTTCAGCGGTTCGGTCTTCAGTTCTCCTCTGCACAGCCCACACCTCTACCGGTGGACCACAGGCTCTCAGCTCCTGTTCCCGATTAGTCAGTAGAGCCCAGTGGTCTGTACGCAGAGCTGGTGGGTTGCCTCATGTACCTGATGACTTGCACTCGCCCAGATCTCACATACCCTCTTAGCATCCTGGCTCGCTTTGTGGCCACAGGCAGACACCGACCATAGCACAGGTCTGTCGCTAAGAGGGTTTTGCGTTGTCTTGCAACTACATCGGGCATGGGGCTAGTGATGGGAGGACGCAGGCCAGTGGTCCTTATTGGGCACACTGACTCTTCTTGGGCAGACGACGCAGAGACTCTCAGGTTCTCTCAGGGCTACTGCTTTAGCCTTTGTTGAGGTGCTGTTTCGTGGAGAGCTACCCGCTCCTCGTCTGTTGCCCAGTCCAGCTGCGAGGCTGAGATATACGCCGGTGCCATGGCGGCACAAGAGCTCCGCTGGCTGACCTTCTTGCTCACTGACTTAGGTGAGCAGCCTAGCTCTGCCCCGGTTGTGTACGCTGACAACAGGGCCATGATCCTCCTGTGTCAGGAGCCTCGAATTGAGGGCAGAGCAAAGCACATCCAGCTGCGGTACTTCCTCCTGCGCGAGCTACAGCAGCGTCGCCAGGCCCGCGTAGTACACTTGGCCTCCGGTGCCAACACAGCTGATATCTTTTAGAAGGCGCTTGCGCTTAAAGATCATGAACGACACTGTGTATAGCTAGGTCTTGTTCCTGTAGCCTCTCACTTGCTCGGACCTTGATTGTATACAGACCTTTACATATATTACCCTGACTTGACTTGTGGCCCCTTCCCAGTGGCTGGACTAGTAGTGCCATCCTGGTCTTGCTCTTGCCTTGTTTGTACTCGTTTGACTGGTCTTTAGACCCTTGCCTCAGAGGCTGGACTAGTAGTGCCACCATGAGCTGCTTGTCTCTCACTAGGCACTACCCCTATTCAGTCTAGGGGGTGTGTTCAACATATCTTTGTATGTTGTTATAGACTATATAGGGTTGTGCCTTAGGGAGTACAACCCTCTAGGATATATTCCCTTGTATCTCATTGTTCTAGTCATTCGTTAACTTCGATACCGCACTCGCCTACGACACCGACGACAGCGACGACTCTGAAAACGATGATGGTGAGGCTCCATCCAATATTTCTCGCCATCGCATTCTCGCCCCCGCCCACCCTCTTCCCCCCCTTGGTCCCACGCCCACAGCAACTACCTTCATGCGTAAGGGGGTGCGTGACTAGGCCGAAGTCTTCACTGTTATCCAAGCGCACCTGCAGCACATCAACTTCGAGTTGCGGCATGGCAACGTCACCGGCGCACTCAACAACGTGAAACACATTGAGACGCTTATTAATAAGCGTTTCGAGGTGCTTCTCATGGCGGATGAGGGCGGCTTTGAGGCCGGTGATCGCTTCTAGCTCTACCAGTCTAAGAGTGTGTTGACGTCCCATTCCTACAAGCTGGCGGTCACCGACGTGGCTGCACTCAAGCGCGCACGCACCATCTACCCCCGTGGTGGTCGTTCCGGCGGCCGTGACGGAGAAATGGACCTCAAAGGCTCCCCCCTCTCACGTGCCACCAGCCACGCTTCAAGGGCGTGTGCTTCCGCTGTGGCCAGCCAGGTGACATGGCTAACGCGTGCCCCATGGGCGGGCATCGTGCACAAGGCCCCTCACCGATGGTGTGAGCTGGGGTAAGGCCGGCGCCCTTCGCCAATATGCAAGAATCATATTGGGCTGCACCGGGGGTGCATGGCTGGTGGCCGGCCTTAGGACAAGGCAAATGGCCTAGTAGACTAGGGTAGCCCTAGGGGCAGAGAAGGCCGTGGGCCTAGAACCTTGTGTTATTCCATGTATGAAACATGTATGCCGTTATGGCGCATTGAAAATAAGATTGCAAGGCCTTGATGAAAGAGAGAGAGAGCGTGAGAGAGAGAGAGAGAGAGAGAGAGAGAGAGAGAGAGAGAGAGAGAGAGAGAGAGAGAGAGAGAGAGAGAGAGAGAGAGAGAGAGAGAGAGAGAGAGAGAGAGAAAGAGAGAGAAAGAGAGAGAGAGAGAGAGAGAGAGAGAGAGAGAGAGAGAGAGAGAGAGAGAGAGAGAGAGAGAGAGAGAGAGAGAAAGAGGTGACGAAGGCTCGAGTGCTGAAGGGAGAAGGCATGAATATCAGCCATGCCCCCTTTGCAATTGAACATGAGCCACTCCCTCTTTGCCAATTGAATGGGAGCTATGCCCCCCCATGCAATTGACTATGACACATCCACCCTTAAGGCAAAGTGTCTAGTCTTGCTTACTTGGGTACCCATGTGATTCTTGCCACCCGACCCTTTGGTCCAGCAGAAATCAGAGAAGGATGGTTACGCAACGATCATGACCCCTACGGGTACGCAGTTACAGACAAGGACGTATCTGTCATGCATAGTCGATTGCGTCATGCCCTACACTGGTGGTGCTCATGGTGCGATAGCAGCTTCATCTTGTCCATCATCGTGAAAGGATATTGGCTTCCCTGGAAGAAAGCCGTGCCACATGCCTTTGAGGATAGCAATCATGTTGGAGTTCGCACACACCTGGACTTCACTCGTGGCGCGATTCGCGACCTCGTCACCTCGAGTGCCGTCGTCAGGGTCCCTACAAAGGACGCGCTCATGTGTGTCAGTCCACTCAACGTGGTGGAGCAGCGCGACAAGTGTCGCCTCATTCTCGACTTGCGCAAAGTCAACAACTACCTCGACATCTCCAAGTTCAAGTACGAAGGCTTGAATAGGGTAGCCGAACTCATCCGTCCAGGCGATTGGATGTTCTCCATCGACCTAAAGTCAGGCTACCACCATGTTGAGATCCACCTGTCCTGCTAAAAGTTCTTGGGATTCCAGTTTGAAGGAGACTACTATTCCTTCATATTGCTCCCGTTCGGCCTTACCACTTCCCCGTTTGTCTTCCCACAACTGATCAACTGGCAAATCGATGGCGGGCAAGCGGCGTGCGGGTTGTTCCATATGTCAACGACTTACTATTCCTCTGCAACTCCCACACGGATGTACGCTCGACATGTGCAGTTGTCGTTTAGGACCTGAAGGCTGCAGGTTTTGTTATAAACGGCAAAAAGTTACATGCCAGATAGCTTTCCTCGGCCTGGAGATTGATGCCGCCTAAGGCACAATCTCCGTCGGACTCGAACGTCGAGCACAACTTTTTGCTTCACTCCAAGCCCTCATCACCCAGGGACAAGAGGGACGACCGGTTCCTATCCGGTCCCTTGCGAGAATCACAGGAATGCTGGCCTCCATGAATCTGGCATTAGGCGCTACGGCACGTGCCTTTAGTCACGAGTTCCTTTGACTTTTGCCGACGCCACCTCTTGGCATGCCAAGGCACACTTGTCGTCGACAGCAGTGCAGGAGCTGCATTTTTGGCTTGCGCAGTTCGACAAGTTCAACGGAACCCCATTCCATCTCATTCACCAGTTCGACGCCGTCATCCACGTCGATGCAAGTGCACACTGCTGGGGCGCCACCTTGACACAACTTCCCGGGACGCCCATTGAAGCTAATGCTTGCATGCCCGAGGAACTACTGCCCCCCTCCAGCACTCAACGGGAACTTGAAGGAGTCTTATGGGCTCTCCAAACTTTCGCCGCCCGCATACACAAGAGCCACGTGCTCGTTCGGGTTGACAATCAAGGGGTGGTATTCATCCTGCGCAAAGGTGTATCGCGCCACCCCACGCTCACACTACTATGTCAAGCAATCATTCGCCTCTGCCTGGAACATCAGACAAGGCTAGCTGTCGAATGGATTCCGCGAGAGCTAAATGTGCACGCCAATGAACTTTAAAAAATCCAAGACCACGATGACTACTCCCTCAAGCCCCGTAGTTCCGGCTCTTGGATCGCCGCCTGGGTCCCCACTCTATCGATCTCTTCGCAAATGTGCACAACGCTCAGCTGAAGATGTTTTGCTCCAAGATTCCACACCCTACGGCCGCAGTGTTTGACATTTTTTCGATCAGCTGGCAGCACGAGCGCGGCTTCGCGTTTCCTCCTCCCAACCTCATTCCAGCCACATTATGACATGCTAAACGCACACACGCTCAGGTGACCTTAGTTATTCCCGAGTGGCCGGGAGCATCATGGTGGCCACTCCTCCAACGGGCACCTGATGCCTGGGTGCCAGAAGTAACAGCACACATTCCCCTCACCCACGGCAGCTAATGCCTACGCCCCGGCACACACGCACTTGCTTTCGCAGGACAAAGCTTTCCTCCCAGTCAGATGATTGCACTGCATGTCACATAAAAAATTTAATAATAATTGTACTCTACCCAGTACCTTTTCAGGCATTATAACAAAGCTGAAACGCAACTACTACACGTAATTACCCATGTCTGTGCCCCTTCCACCATCCGAACATATGAGCCCTACTGGCTAAAATTTTGCTCCTTCTGTAAGAAATAGAGTTGAAATGATTGATTAGGTAAGAAGCCCAAGACTCTATAAGTACATGGCAAGGTGAGAGTGAATGGATGAAGGAGGAATTGGAGGGAATCCCCATTGGGATCTCCGGAATCTCCAATTGGGTAATTGGAGATTGGGGGGATCACAATTGGGTGAGGTTGGGATTTGTGAGTACACCCCAACCCACTAGAACATTCATAACCTAAACTAGGATATAAAAGTACAAATACAAAAGTGATATTTGCAGTCTATTTCTAACACACCCCCATAGACTGCAAATCCGATCAAGGAGCACATAGCCCCATGGAACGGAGAAGGCGATGGTGGTCAGCCTTGCCAAGAGCCTTGGTAAAGAGGTCGGCGAGGTTGCAATCTGAGGCGATGTACCGTACCGTCAGCTGGTCACTCTGAACAAGATCTCGGATGAAGAAATGACGAAGTTCGATGTGCTTGGTGCGAGAGTGGAACACAGGATCCTTGGTGGATGAATGGCACTCTGGTTGTCACACCACAGGGTGGGCGACTGCTGGGGGTAGCCTAACTCAGCAAGGAGAAAGGAGAGCCAGCGTGCCTCTTGAGCAGCCATTGTGCCCGCGTAGAGCTCGGCCTCGCAGGACGACAGGGAGACTGCAGAGGACCGAGTGGAGCGCCAGCTGATGACTCCGCTACCAAGGGTGAAGTAGTACCCTTGGGAGGAGCGTCTGTCAGTCTGGTCATCGGCCCATGAGGAGTCTGTGTATCCCTCGAGCTTGACTGGAGAGGTACCACCAAGAGTGAGGATGTGAGACTTGGTGGCTTGTAGATAGCGCAGGACCCTCTTGGCTGCAGACCAATGCGAGGCAGTGTAGCGTCCGGGGGAGACGTACCGAGAGAGGACACTAACCGGGTAAGCCAAGTCTGGTCGAGTGCACATCATGGCATGCATGAGTGAACCGACTAGCTCAGGGTACGGGTCCTTGCAGGTGTCAGGAGAAGGAACTGGAGGGGCCGTGAGCTGATGCTGTAGTGGGAGTGGAGTGGAGACAGAGTTACTGGAGTCCATGTCGAACCGCTTGAGAAGGTTGTCGATGTAGGACTCCTGGGAGAGGGTGATCGTGCAAGCCTGGCGGTCACGAGTGATCTCCATCCCCAGGTAGTTCTTGAGGTCACCAAGATCCTTCATGAGAAGGGCGGAGCTGAGAGTAGACTAGACAGCTGCCATGTCGGCTGGATCTCTGGCAGCAAGAATGAAGTCGTCGACGTAGACGAGGATGTAGAAGGGCTCAGAGGAGTGACGAACAAAGAGACTGGAATCTGAGGCAGAGGGATGGAAGTCAAGTGCGAGGAGGACTTCCTTCACCTTGTTGTGCCACTCACGAGGAGCCTGCTTGAGGCCATACACTGGGCACTTCAGCTTCCACACTGTGTTGGCAGGGTAAGTGCCAGGAAACCCCGGTGGGCGTTCCATGTGAACATCCTCCTTGAGCTGGCCTTGGAGAAAGGCGGAGGAGGCGTCCATGGACTTGATCTCGAAGTTGCCGCGAGCGGCTATAGTCAAGAAGAGCGCGCACAGTCGGGAGCTTGGCCGTGGGCGAGAATGTTTCGAAGAAGTCGAGATACTCCTTCTGGGTGAAACCCTTCGCCACGTATCATGCCTTGAACAGTGGAGCTTCGCCTGGGAGTTGTTTGACTCGGAAGATCCATTTTCCGCCGACGATGTTGACACCGGAAGGGGGAACAACATCGTCAAAGGTGTTGTTGCGAATGAACGCCTCGTTCTCCACATCCATTGCTGCCTTCCACTCCTTCTTATAAGGCCCCGAGAGAGCTTCCTCTTTTGTGCGAGGAGAAGTTGAGGGAAGGGCAGTCAGTAATGTCCGGGAAGATGTGAGAGAGAAATTGGCAGACCGCGTGAAGGTCAAACAGCTCCTCATGCCTGTCCTCCAGAAGTGCACGGGGGGGGAATACGGATGGAGGGGACATCACCCCCGGTAGGAGGAGGCGGGGTGACCGAACACCGGATGGAGAAGGCGGCTGGTCCCCAGGCGAGAGGCGGAGCCGGTCCCTTGGAACGAGTGCGACTAGAGACCGGAGACGAAGGCGGCTGCGGTGGGACCGGAGGGACTGGGCACCTCCGATAGGAGACTGGTGAGCCGGGCTCGACGCGCGGGGAAGGCGGAGCAGGAGGAGGTGCCGCTGCGGAGGATACTAGGGAGGCCGGGTGAGACACGCCGGACGGAGAAGGCCCTGGAGAAGGGGCAGCGGCCGGAGGTGAGACACACCGGCCGGAGAAGGGGCAGTGGCAGAGAGCTCCCCCGACGCTTGTTTGGGCAGACTTCGATGCCCCACCTCCGGCTGCTGCCCCTTCTCCGGGGCCTTCTCCGTCCGGCGTGTCTCACCCGGCCTCCCTAGTATCCTCCGCAGCGGCACCTCCTCCTGCTCCGCCTTCCCCGCGCGTCGAGCCCGGCTCACCAGTCTCCTATCGGAGGCGCCCAGTCCCTCCGGTCCCACCGCAGCCGCCTTCGTCTCCGGTCTCTAGTCGCACTCGTTCTAAGGGACCGGCTCCGCCTCTCGCCTGGGGACCAGCCGCCTTCTCCATCCGGTGTTCGGTCACCCCGCCTCCTCCTACCGGGGGTGATGTCCCCTCCATCCGTATTCCCCCCCCGTGCACTTCTGGAGGACAGGCATGAGGAGCTGTTTGACCTTCACGCGGTCTGCCAATTTCTCTCTCACATCTTCCCGGACATTACTGACTGCCCTTCCCTCAACTTCTCCTCGCACAAAAGAGGAAGCTCTCTCGGGGCCTTATAAGAAGGAGTGGAAGGCAGCAATGGATGTGGAGA